AGAGAAGGCCTTCCTCTATGAAATTGTGTCCAACACAAGGAACAAGATTGATGTGGATAAGTGGGACTATTTTGCTCGGTGACTTTTTAGATTTCATTCTCCTCTCAAAATTTCAATCTTGTCTTAAATTTTATAAATCTTTAAACATATTATTTTTCTCTTGCCATGTGTCAGGGACTGTCATCACTTGGGTATGCAGAACAACTTTGACTGCCATCGCTTGATTAAATTTGCCAGAGTGTGTGAAGTGGATGGGATGAAGCAGATCTGTTACAGAGACAAGGTTTGATTTTTTTTTTTCATTATTTAAGATTCAAAATTACCATATTTGCCACTTCATGTTGTCATTATTGTTAACAGGAGGTGTTCAATCTGTACAACATGTTCTACACAAGGTTCTCTTTGCACAAAAGAGCCTACCAGCACAAAGTGACCAACAGCATAGAGTGGATGTAAGGAGCTCTTGACTTTGCTGGAGCTTGATTGATGCTGTTTCTGTTTTATTACCTTTTATTTTATGCAATGTTGTCTCACCATTACATGCTGGGTTTGTCCTTCAGGATCAGAGACGCTTTTCTGAAAGCAGATGGACACATCAACATTGAAGGCAGGAGTAGGAACATGTACACTATCTCCACAGCTATTGATGACATGGTGGCATACACTAAGCTGACGGGTGAGTAAACTTGCACAACAATGGAGAAAAACATAAACGTTGTTAGTTTGATTGAATGTGGATTTTTAGTTGTGCAAAATCAAAGGGACAGAAATAAGAATAAAGTTATAAACAATTTGCATCCACAAGGTCCATATGGGTAAAACTGGCATTAGCTCTCATAATTTAATGATGAAAGTTTATCCAGCACTTATTTTAAAACCATTTTTGAACAGAAACTCAGAACATAATCAGAAGTATATTAATCTACATTCTCCCCACCCTTATCTGTCTTATACACAAGATACATTAGCAAAAATCAATCAAAAAAGTAGCCATCTAAGAAATTCAATTAATCAAATAACCTTAAAAAAGAATTATTCCATAAAAAGGCTTCTCAATATTGAATAACAGATTATTGTCTTTGTTCTAGATTTTTGAGCAGTGGCTTCTATCCTGATCAGCATCCTCTCAGTCCATGAGGATTTAACACTGACTTCACTGAAGTTCAGTCAGTTCAGCACACAATGCTTTTCACGATTAGTAGTTTTACCTTTCTCACGCACAACACCAAATAGAGCAAGCAAAGGGTTAACAGCTTCATGCCATTAATGTTTTTAGGGTGTAATTAAAAACTCCTTCCTGAATTTCACTCAGCCTGGTTTGTCCAGAAAACATTGTTTCTAGTGGCTTCATCTCTGCCACACAGTAGAGATCTTGCACTCAAATAGATACAAGGCAGCATTGTTATGGACATGCGGACACTATTTTAATTTACAACAAAGAATAATTAGCACAAAGTAACATTGCATTTCTAACATAGAAAGATTTTATTTTTTCTTCTATTCATATGTCATTTTTTCTGGAAAACCTCCCAACATTTTGTCATCAATTTTGGTGATCAGACTTTTATATGAGAATTTTAAATTAACATGGTGACTGGGGTATAAGGATGTAGGAAATATAACAGTGTTTTTATGGACAGCTGCTCAAAGTATACTCTTTCTGTATGAAAAATAAAAATTTTCTCTGGTATTTTTTTATGTATGTTTTAAAACAGAGTCTGAATTTTTAGAGGATTTTAAATCCATTTCTTTGATTTGACCAATTTTGTGTTTTTCTGTTTACCTTGTAGATACTATATTTGATCAGATATTGAACTCCTCCTCTGATGATCTTAAGGAGGCAAGAGAGATACTGAAAAGGATAATGAAAAGAGAGCTACGTGTGTCTGGGGGAATTTTCATCAGACAAGAGTCTGAAAGAACTGGAGGTATCCTAAGAACTTCAGTTGTATTCAGTAACACTGTAATTACCCATCCATCCATTTTCTAACACCTTTGTCTCTAATGTGGTTGGGAAGTTCTGGTTTCTATATCCAGCTGACAATCGAGGCGAAAGGTGGGGTACACACTGGACAGGTCGCCAGGGCAACATAGAGGAAGACAGGACAAACAACCATGCACACACACACACACACACACACACACACACACACACACACACACACACACACACACACACACACCAATGGAAAATTTAGATTTATATATAAGTTAGATTAATTTAGAGGAAGCCGGAGAACTCGGAGACAACCCACATATGCACAGGAAGAACTGCAAACTCCATGCAGAAAGACTCTGGGCCAGGAATCGAACCAAGGACCTTTTTGCTGGAAGGCAATAGTGACACCAACTCCGCCAGTGTGCAGTCATACTGTAACTATACTGTTTTATTTTTAAGTAAAAATCTGGAAGTTGTAACATTTTATGCAATTTTTGTTTAGGATGAGTGGAAGAAGCATCTCGGCGACACAGGGGGAAACCCAGACAATTATATAGTGGAAGTGAGTTTTAATGCAAATACGATCTTTTTTTGACTGAGGCAATTAACTTTGATATGTACAATTTATTCTCTGGAATATCATTTGTAACCTCACATTATTCATTTATTATTTAGTTAGTCAAGTTTAACTATGGAATGAAGAATGAAGATCCCATAAAATACGTGAGATTCTACAGCAAGCAAAACCCAGATGTAGCCAAACGTATCGACAAAGATCAGGTGAGAATGAAACAGAATATTTTAGATTCCTGATTTGCTCATTTCTGTCACTTGTTCTTCTGAAGCAAAATCATTTGAATTTTCACCACAAGTGTTTCTAATTTATGGTTCAATACAAACTGCCATGTGTTGCTTACATCTCTTTCAGGTATCTCTACTTCTTCCAGCGCTGTTTGAAGAGAAGAAGTTCAGAATCTACACTAAGAGAACAAATGAAGAGGATCTGAATGCTGACAGAGACATCTTTAACATATTTCCCCCTGCACAACCAGTTCAAGCCTGAGGTATTTCTGGAGGCTGTAATTAACCAAATATAATACACATAAGCTATTTTTAGTTAGCTGTGATTCATAACTTTCTAATTTTATTTAAACAGTATGTGAAAAATTTTAGGAGTTTATCTACTTGAATTGGATTAATTGACCACCAAATGTGTGTTTATTCCACAATGTAAATATCTGTTTGGGTTAACATCTCAAGTCTATAAAAATACAGTATAACATATATAACTCTATACGAATTATATTATAATTATATTATATTAATTATTGTTCTTGTACCACCACTTTCTGTAAGAAGTGATTCCTCAAAGGTAAAACCGGTAATGTAGTTATTTTGGTTTTACAACCGTCAAAATGATCTGTGTTGTGTAGTTTACATTTTATGTAACAATTTATGCATTTTTATTTATTATGTACACTGTGCACTCACACAACTTGTAATATCTGTATTTTCTGTTTTTTAGGAAGTAATCATGGCACCGGTTCTGAATCCAGGTTGGAATAACCAGAGAACTTGAAAGAAATATATTTTATTCTTGTCAATGAATATAACCTGCATACATTTAAATGGGTTTGTAAAAGTGCAAACAAACTGTTTTTGCATTTAAAGAGGCTTGGAAGTTAATCTTACATGGGTTTTTTCTTAAAGGTGAAGGTTTAGATTAACATAGACAATATTTACACATCAATAAATACAGTAAAAACGATAAATTTGAAACTTTATTCAAATGTTTGATTTGTCATTTGTGATTATTTTATTATTTTATGGTGTTTGGTTTTAGGGTATTTGATTTATTAGTTTTATTCATACTTAATCAATTAGTTTTGGTAAATCATATTGTTGTCATCACCTTCCAGGTCTGTTGACATTACTTGACTAAATGTGTTGTAGTGCCATTAAATCTGGACTTGAATGTTTAAAATTTTCTCAGGATTGGTGAGAATGTAATCATTTTAACAAACTTGTTTTAAAATAAATGGTGTGATGGTACATTGTGTCTCGTTTCTTTCAACATCTTTGTGCAACATTTGTTTTTTTGGTTCCATCTGAAAGACGTTACCAAAACCTGAAGCTCAGCTGTAGAAAAGTTGTTGTTCTTCCACCCACTAAAGAACTCAAGAAGAGTTTTATAGATACTCTGTATTGCTAATGTGACTAATTTAGACTTAAAGTATTTGTTTTATTCTTTTAGTTTCATTATTTCAATTTTTATTCTGACCAGAAGTAGTTTGAACATGTTTTCATTTGGTGAAAATGAAAAAAGTCTCAAGGACACTTTTTACCAAAGATAATCAAAATATCATTGGAAAAATAACAAAAGCTGTGTAGCAATTATAAAAACTGTTTCCTTTGAGAAGGTTATGAATATTACAGTTTCAGTCTTTCCTCCACCATTTAGAGAAAATAAATCCTCTTACATCTTTATTATTATCTGGTTTAGTTGACATTTTTAATGTCTGATCTGCTTTAAGAATACAAATTAAGAAATAAGTTTTGTAATAATTCATTTGGTTCTCCTTATGAATAAGTTAATGACATTAACATATCCATGAGCCTGAGTGTTTGGTCTGTGGTATTAAATGACCCTGGATTTAACTTCAGTATTTTATTATTAATCATTTAATGTGGACAATTAAAGTTTTAGGAAGACATTTCTGGTGTCAGGGTTGTTTTTCTATCAATTCTTATTTGTACATAAGTGTAATAGAATGTGAGTGAGTGAGTGAGTGAGTGAGTGAGTGAGTGAGTGAGTGAGTGAGTGAGTGAGTGAGTGAGTGAGTGAGTGAGTGAGTGAGTGAGTGAGTGAGTGAGTGAGTGAGTGAGTGAGTGAGTGAGTGAGTGAGTGAGTGAGTGAGTGAGTGAGTGAGTGAGTGAGTGAGTGAGTGAGTGAGTGAGTGAGTGAGTGAGTGAGCATGCTGATTTAGGAACCTTTCATAAAAGTTAATTCTATTAGCTTAATTACAAACTACTGTTTGCCTCCATTTCACTAACATTTTGTTCAGTAGTGGATGGACAGGAACTTGTCAGGTATTTCTGCAGACTGCATGGCATAAACAGTTGGTCAGATATTTAACATTTTAATGTTGTGTCATAACATTAAAAAGCAGATTTCTCTATTTTCTAAGGCCCTGTACTAACAGAACACTAACCAATATGTATAGATATTGTCAGAGGCCTATTTTAACTATTCAAAATAATAAATAAACCTTAATATGCATTATGTCAGACTGATTATGAATATTTGGACCACATGAATAAAATGTAAATTATTCAGTAACTTTCTAGAAAGAAAATGTAAAAATATTCAGTGAAACAGTCTTAGATTGTTGGTGTTTGGTTTAAGGGTATTTGATTTATGAATTTCATTCACACTTAATTAGTTTTGGTAAATTACGATTGTTGTCATAAACAAACGTGAAACAGTCATAGACTGTTAAACTAAAACAGCTTTTTTTCAGAAAAATATGGTTCAATTTACATATTTATTTTATGGTTTTTATTTGGTTTTGTTTGTCAAATATCCATTATGTTCATACCAGTATCACCATCACACGGTTTGACTTCAGTCCAATCATGCAGGACATTTTAAACTGCTTGTTCAATTAAAATGAAACAATCAGATATATCTGTGTTGTTATGATCCTATATCTTTCATTTTCAGGAATTGAAACTGGTGGGCTCATAATTCATTTTACAAGACAAATATGCAGCTATCGAGTGAAATTCAATCAAGGTGTGAAGAAGTAGATGCAAGCACTTTTCTGGTGTCAGGGTTGTTGTTTTTTTATCAATTTTTCTTTGTACATAAGTGTAATAGAATGTGAGTGAGTGAGTGAGTGAGTGAGTGAGTGAGTGAGTGAGTGAGTGAGTGAGTGAGTGAGTGAGTGAGTGAGTGAGTGAGTGAGTGAGTGAGTGAGTGAGTGAGTGAGTGAGTGAGTGAGCAAACATGTGCAGGGGTTGATTTGTTGATTGATTGATTGATTGATTGATTGATTGATTGATTGATTGATTGATTGATTGATTGATTGATTGATTGATTGATTGATTGATTGATTGATTGATTGATTGATTGATTGATTGATTGATTGATTGATTGATTAGCATGCTGGTTTAGGAATCTTTAAAAAAGTTCAGTAGAATTTCTGCTAGAGCTCTGTATATACACACACACACACACACATATATATACATATATATATATGTATAGCTCTATATAGATATAGATCTATATATATGTATATGACATATGTATGTGTGTATATATATGTACATATATATCTATATCTAGCTATCTACAGATATATATATTTTTTGATATATTTATCTATAGATAGATATATAGACCTGTATCTATATATCTATATAGATATAGATAGATATATATATCTATAGATAGATAGGTATAGATATATATGTGTGTGTAATTAGAAAACTAAATATATTCTGATTAGGAAAGTAATTCTGATTACTTTCCTAATCAGAATAGATTTGTTTTTATTTAAAAAATGTCTATTTTATTTATTACTTTATTAAAAGTGTGGTTTGACTGTTGCCTAGCTACAAGTGGTGTATCCCAATTTATAAATTGAATTTAAATTGAACTCAATTTAAATTCAATACCTGTTGAAATGCTTTTCTTTTCGGTTACTGCTATATAAATAAAATAAGTTTATATTTTATTTCAATAGCACCAACTGAACATACGTCACAAGCAGATGATTATTTTTGTGAATCCGTGAGGTTTTTGATTCATTCGCTTCCTCTGCAGCACTCAAATATCCAGGAAAAGAAACTCAGAATCGTCTTAGGGCAGTTTTCATTTAATTTTACCTCAGCACTGTCAAAGTAATTCTCACCTAAGAAGGAAAGGTTTCTATCTTCGTTTTCCGATTTTGTGGGTTCTTTACAAGGACCTGGTATACTGCTGACAGCACCAGACGATGCTCTGTCTACCTTACCTTCAGATCTTAATGGATTGGGCAGTTTGGAGTTGGAAACACACTTCTGCAGCTTTGTTGGTCGTATTTGTTTCCTGACAGGTAGGGGCGTTTCTCGAGAAGACATCTGGGGCTTCACATGGATCAGGATTCTTCCTTTCTTGCACGAGAGTTTTTTGTATTGCTGTAAAGCTGCCGCCACTTTCTGAGATGTTTCGACCCCGTGTACCATCTCCCCCTGTGACCCTGGGTCAGTTTGGCTTTCAGTGTTCAGTCTCCCAGCTTTTATTGAAAATATATATTCCTCATTTTCATAATCCTCTTCAGGTTGGTGGTCAAAGCATGAAATAGCTGAACCAAATATGCACAGATTTTCACTGGATGTTTTATACCTTCCAACCTCTGCTTCCTCCAGCTGCGACTCTCTCATGTTTGCATGGGCCAAAGATACGTACGGCCCCCTGCTTTTATGCGAAAGATGTGACATGGTTATGAAACGATGGCCGAGAGCTTGGCTTGGGGTGATCCTTTTTGCCGGATTGATATGCAGCATTCGCTTAAGGAGGCTCATGAAAGCCCGTGTGTCTTTTTCTTCAACAAGATCATCCAGTCCTGGGTGCAACCTTGGCAACTCATCGAAAGTCTTTATGTATTTGTCAATGCAACTGTGCTTGACAACTTTTTTTCCCGTCAGTTTTTGATATTCCTCATTCGTGTTCAGCTTCCAGAACAAATCCTCAGTGAACGTAAAGAAAGTGCTCACCCTCGTCCCTTTCTTGAGAATCTCGTCCTCTGGGAAACCGTGGAGCTTTGTTATCACTCTGATGAATTCATATTCGGATTGCACGGGATACATGTGCCTTCCGATGAACACCAGGGCCAGAACGCAGCCGAGAGCCCACATGTCAACGCCCTCCTCCAAGGGCAGGCCCAGCACCACTTCGGGGGCTCTGTAGCCGAGAGCTTGGATCATCTCAACCCTTTCCAACGTGGATCTCCTCATGGCGTTGCCAAAGTCGATAAGCTTCACCTTAAACGGCTGCAGCTCGTGGTTCACAAGCATTATGTTGTCTGATTTGATATCACAGTGAACAATGCCGATGCTTTTCAGTGCATCCAGAGCCACTAACATCTGTTGAGCTATGACCCTTATCTCAGACACGTGCAGCGGGAGAAGCTTTCTGTCTATGAAAAAGTCATACAAGCTTTGACTCAGAAACTCAAAGACAAGGCACTTGTGTCCTTTGTAGTTGAACCCTTCGTAAAACTTGATCAAGTTGGTCTTGTCAGCGTCGAGCTGTCTAATCGCTTTCAATGCTTTCAGTTCAGCTTTGCCTGCATTGGTGTTTCGCTTTAGAACCTTGATGGCCCTCAGCTCATCTGTGTGAAGGTTCCTGCAGCGGATCACTTTTCCAAAACTGCCCTCTCCTAATTTGTTTTCCACAAGGTATGAGTCAAACTTACTGTGGATAATGGTGTGCTCCTTCCACTTGAATGAATTTTTGCTCAAGAGGATCTTGTCAGAGCTGAACATCCTTGCATCCATTTTGTTCAAAATAATTTTGTCAGAACTAAACATCCTTCCATGCTTTTTGCTCAGAATGTTTGCGACGGAGTTGAACATCCTTGCAAAGTCTGAACTGTGTTCAAATGACGGCGCGGGGACCTTTTGGAATTCAGTGATCGAACGTTGTGACGAGGCTGGCTGTGACGTCACAGGGCGAGCCGCGCGTGTCTGTTCTCTGTTGGGTTCAGACGCGTCGATCTGCGCAGCCTCGGGAGCGACGACGGTGAAGACCTGAAGGTTGAAGCGGCCGCGAGCGAAAACCACGCAAAAGCCTGGACGAAAATACAGACAACATATTTCTGCTTTCTGCGCGGATGTTGTGGTTCAAATGTATTTCGCAGTTATCGCCGGAAACTCGGCGTTTGCGCCGGTTTTTAAAACCCCCGTAATAATAATAACCACAGCAAACATTTAACGTTTTGGAAGCAACTGCACACAGTTTCAGCTGTATATATTTCATTTGATAGTGCTTGATAACAAGTAATATGATTAATCATTGGATATAATGAATGTCAACAAAAACAAACAAACAAACAAACGGAAAATCATTTATATTCCGCAATTTTGATTTTAAAAAAAAATTCATAGTGCAACAACACAACAACAATAACATTAATCATCATCATCATCATCATCATCATCATCATCTGTACAGCAAAGAACTTTCTTTAGGAAAGAATCTCACACACTAAGATCCTGACATTAGTTTTAGCCATCGATAGAGAAAAATAAAGCAACTCAACAATGTCAACAACAGGCAAAAATAAAAGGAGAAGAAGAAGAAGAAGAAGCCTACACAAACCAATTCATGCCAGAAGAATCATGTTCATAAATGAATTTGATGAAGTCTGTCTCTTGTTGGTGAGTTCAGAACCATGGACAGCACTTCTGCAGATCTGTCCATGGTGCTGAATTGTCCGTCAAATTTACAAACCGATGTCTCAAGGAGGAATTTTCCGGTTCTAATGTGCTTTCCTTTCATCTGTTTAATAATACCAGCTTTAATATATGGCTCTAAAGAAGATGTGTTATGTACAAATTGACTTTATATCAGGCCCTGGTGTTATATTCTCATCTAAAACATGTTGCTTTTGATTCTTTGCATGCTTGAGAAATCCTCACATAGCTCCTCCTTGGAGCTGCTGTCAAATTGTGAAATTACATTTCGTTAAAGTCATGTTTGATATACAGAGCCCTGAAAGTCATATAATGACTTGATTATGCTGAAAGTGGCACTGTGCGCGCGCCCCATTAAGAATGTTCTGTGTTTGTGAACTTATCCTATAAAATATTTCATTTAAGAAATAATTTTTAAAAAATCAAAACAGCAGCATGTTTTAACGCATATACATTTTATTGCTCAAGATCTAATACATTGGTGCAGAAATTAATACACTATATATATTTTTTATATTTAATAAAACAAAGTAATGAAACTGACCAATCTATAGATTAATTACCTTTTTGCTTTTTTTTTCTTTTGCTTTTGCACATCGTCTGTCATCTCTAACTTCACCACCAGGTGGTGCTGTTATATAGAGCTACAGAGATAACCTCCAACTGTTTTCTCGTGGCAGTGCGGTGTTTATTTCTGTCCATGTTTCCTTTTTTAACAAGATTTCTTACAGATTGGCTCATAACTCTTTCCTCGTTTTGTCGAATACTTCTGATGATAAACACTTTGTTGATAAAAAGTGTTCACTTCCAAATTGGGCCACAAATATTGCTTCACCTCCCCCGAAATCCTTTTCCACAATTGCAGCTGATTATCACTAGATGGCACCAAAGAGACGCTTGCAACGAACCCTCCAGCAGAGGAATTTGGATAAAGTGTATTAGTTTGTTTGTATGTTTGGTTGTGTGTTTTTTATTACACTTTCTTTTATTTATTCCCAAATCTTCAGTAAATCTTTTTATTATTATTATTTTTCTAAAGAACATTTTATTTAATTTCTAATTTACCAAAACAATAATTGACTGAAATCTTATTGGGAGTCTTCTTCCCCTCTGAAATGACACCAGTTACAGGGTGTTTCTGGAATCACACTGCTCTGATACATCCTGGAGACCCACGTTTGCTTCTACACACACATCGTCTCTACGTCCTGTGATGCATTTAAGAAATTTCTATCAGACACTTGCACCGTGCAGCAGCAGCACCAAGGCCAACTGGCTGCCAGTATTTTTATAATCTTCATCCTCTCTGACCTCTTGCACTCCTCCTGGCGCCAGTGGTCTCAGCCCCTCCACCCCTCCTCACCACACACACACTTGCATACACACATGCTCCTGTACACTTAGCGGTGCCTCCGTGGATAATTGAGACCAGCTGTTGCAAGGTGCCTCTTCCCTTGACCCTGCACCCTCCTTCCCCCTGCTGGTGCAGCCGATTCTGCTGGTGGTGGTGCACTTGCCTCTCCGGCAGAAAGCAAACCCCCCACTGCTCTCTCATTTCCCCTTCCTCTATTCTTACCCCCCACTCTGCCGGTCCAACATGCCTTTAAATGTGTTCGTGCTAATTGATAAATGCCTGATTTCCTGGTTTTCTGGGGCGTTCGAGAACTGAGAACTGAAATTGTTGGTCCTTAAATACGTTCTTATAAACACCTAGCAGTTGCAGAAGGTTAATTATTCTCTCAAATCACATCTAATAGATAAACATTTATCCAGCATAGTCATACGTAAATGCTGTTTATATAAAGAAACGGAAAAAATCAATTTCATTTTCTTCAATTTAAAGCAGAAAGTGCACAACAAAGCAAAAAAAAACAGGATGCAGATCACTAAAAAAACAGTTATTCAACTTTAGGTGTTCCTTGCTGCTCTAATTCTTTATGAAATCAATTCAACAAAGTTTCTGACACACTCTTCAAAAATTTTGCTCTGTATCGACACAATGATTTGTTTATTGTATTTGATGTGTACCGCTCGCTCCACCATGTCCCAAAAGGCGCCAATGGATTGAAATGTGTTGACCGTGGTGGTAATGGGACATTAGTAAACTCGTTCACGCCATAAACACAAAGTCTTACCAAATATTTTCCATCAATTTTCTAATGCAAATATTTTCGTTCAATTGAAATAAGAAAAAAAATTAATCTAGAAGTAAGTTTCAGCAAAATATAAGAGCTTTCTATAAGTCAATAATTCCTTAATATTGATAAGAGTACCAGTTCCACTGACATATTTTTTTTAATTTATAACAAGGCTTTTTTCCAATGTCATAAGTAAAGAAAATTCCAGTATTTCTGGAAGTAGTACTTTTGATTCTACAGATTTCCATTAAGCCATTTCAGCAGTGAGCTTTGAACTATTTGTTGGGATTATAAATGACAGACAAAAAATCAATAAACATTATTCAAAAGTTTGTTTTTTTTAAAAAACACACAAAAAAAGACCCTTTAACCATCATTTATATTCAGTACACTTTACCCCGATACCATGAAACGCTGGCAGTGTTTCTGAATGCTGCCACCTTTCAAAAGATGTCACATGATCCGAAAATAAAAATCATTTCTGTGCTTTTTTTTGTGTAAACACAGAAAATCTCATAGAAATGTTGAAAAACATGGTGGTGGCGGCATCATGCTGCAGGGTCCGTGTTCTTGAGTCGGCCCAGGGAAGCTCCTCAGAGCTAAAGGGAAGATGAATCGACTCATACAAAGACAATTTGGGAAGAAAACACGTTGGCGGCCGCAGAACATTTGGAAATCACAGGAAGGTTCATCTGGCTCTAAATAGTTTTGAAAACCCGCCATTTGTGGCTGTAACGGAACAAAATGTATCAACAAAAGTTAAAGAGGTGCGAATACTTTCACACAGAATGTGTGCAGTTGAATCCGGGCGAGACGAGGGAGGAGAAGGGGTCAGCCTCTCTTTTCCAGCTGGTCTGTTGGGGTCAAACTGTGTGCATATGTGTGCGTGTCACGGCCTCTCATTAGGGGTGAGACGCTGCGGCTCCAGACCCCCATGGTAGGATTGCTGGGTGACTCTGCAATGATCCTGCCACTTTGAAGCCCCTGACCCCCCTTCCCCACTCTAACCCCCCCACCGGGAGGCTAATGAGCCTCTAGTGAGCTCTAAATGCATGCCGGCATTAAGTGTGAGCGCAGTTAGATATCAGGTGGGAGAGAATCTGAAAAGCTCTGATAAGCCTGCTGTTGTATTTTTGCAGGGAATGGATCAGATAACAAGGCAGCGAATGTTTGGATGTGTTCAAACAGTGCAGGCCAACTCACCAAGCACCTGCTCCTCATGAAATCTTTAGTTCTTCTTCAGGGTTTTACTCTTTCTTCTCTATATACACTTATATACCAGCTGAGGCGGCGTTGAAAAGCCGCTGAATCTGATTCAGTTGTTAACAATTGTTACCCATAATTACAAGCCGACCTCCACTGTTTTCCCATTCCAGCGTCTCTTTCTCGCCCCTGAAAACCGACTCCAGCACTCCCTCACATAGCTGAGCAGGCACTGAGACATGAATGGTTTGCTTTGGGCGGGGCAGAGCAAGCCCCGGCCCGCAAAAAGGAAGACTAAAACAGGTGCTCGGGTTTTCTGTCTTTTCATCCTTCGCTCTCTGTGCAGCTTTTTCTTACTTTTCCCCACCTGTTGAAGAGGGAGGTCTCATGCTGGTTCATCTGAGCACTTCAGCTCAGCCTGAGCTCTACTGTCACAGAGGGGGGTCTGATCTTAAGTGGAGATAATCGCTTTACTGTGTTGGATCTGCTCTGGTCCATCCCCCTCCCACTTTTACTATTTAGTGTTACGTTTTATTGAAGCCTATATCAGACCCAAACCCTCCTTATTTTTGTGAAATCAAAACTGAAACATTACATTTAGCTAAATTGCAGGGAATTTGTAAACTTTACATCAGTAGGTTTGCTACGATTGAAAGCAAACAAACAAAAACAACTATTGCAGCAACAAATCTCCCCTGATCTACATGTTGATTGCAGAGGGGTCTGGTGGTATGAGCCCCCTGCTGGAGCTCCTCACTGGGCCGGCAGTAAAGTCTCAAAAATCCTGACTCTCCTCACAGCAGGGGTCGAAATTT